TCCCTGTCCAAAGTAACTCTTGAAACAGGAGGAAGAATCCTTCCTCTCAGATGTTCCTTGTTGGAGGGCAAATCCTGCTCTCAGTGGCTCTGACAGAAAATTATTCAAGCTCCATTCTGGATCTATGACTGGCTTATAGTAACAGATGCTCTGGAGTATTTCAGAAGCATGTTCTTTTGTAGTATCCCATACACAGATCAATCAGTAGGTGCTGCCTACACATTGCACACCTCAGACTAGAGGTAATCCAAAATACTATTCACCTGTGGGCACTAAGCAGCCTGCTTAGAAGATACAGAGTGTTTATCTGTTCGTATTCTGATCACAAATCTGCTGACTTAAATTTCTTTGTTGACTTCAACAGCAATTCATTCCTGTCCTGATCTATTTTCACATGGAGCAGGCAAACGACAGAGAAAGAGTGGAGAGAACGTGTGTGTGTTAAAGTCTAAGTATTATTTATATTTGCAGTTCAGAAAAAATGGGGAATCTAGAGGCACCAAGGTGGTGGTACTGTGCCCAGGATCACACCAAATACTGAAGGCACAGGAAGACAACCTGGAATGCTTCCCCTTTCTATTCTCAATATTTGCTTTGCCCCCTTGCCTCAAACACTGTTAACAATGGGGACACAGCAAACGTCTCTTCAGCACATGTCCTCTAAGGTTCTGTTTTCAGCAGTTTGAAACTAAAATAACATATAGCTGGGCATCTAGAAACAAATTTGTGCAGCAGATAATCTCTATCCATGAAAACTATGCCATTTTACACATTTGATTTCTAAACATGCAGGAAAAACCACTAATCAAACATCAGGATTAAGCACCTGCAAAATCTATTTATTCTTATTTATGATTCCCCAGAGAAGAAGGAAAACTCAGACTCTCAACAATAGCCTATACATTCTTCCAAAAAAAACCCAAACAAAAACAACAAGTAAGCAGACAACAGCCATCCTAACAGATAATTTCTTTAGCTACTTGCTGATACTCTCCTGAATTTGTCACACACCTATCTCCCCAGCTGTAACCAGCAAAGATGGATAAAGTCATGTTCTTACTCTTCTTTAACAGATGGCTATAAAAAGCAGCTCCAGCCAAATTCCAGTTTTTAGCAGTATGGCAGTTCATTCCAAAAGCTTCTTCCCCCTTCCCTCCCAGAAGAGTAATGAACATCAGGTTATATCACCCAGCTAATTAGAAACCAAGACCCTCATTGTGTATCATTTATTTGTGCCAGCGGTCCTAGCAAGAGTTGCCCTGTTCATTTACACGCTGGCTATAGGACTGGGTCTTTGATTTCCTGGCTGTGCTGAACTTGAATTCAGTGTGACAGAAACATCTGATGCTTTATGCCAAATTTCAGCCTCAATCAATTTTTTAAAGTAGTTCTATAAAGCCCAGAAAAAGTGGTTGTTTCCTTTTTTTTTCTTGGGTTTTTTTTGTGTGGAAATGGTGATCTCCAATGACACTGCAACATCACAGACAGTCACCAGAAGAAGCGGCTGAACAAACGCCTGTTTGCACTGCTGACACCTCTTCTCTGCCACGCACACGTGCAAGGCAGCAGATGTGCTGAGACTGATGTGGAAATCTTCTGGGAGGATTTTGTCTGCTGCCTTAGACCAGATGAGACAGACACTCAGACCAGATGACCAGAAGAATGATGCAGGCTTCTACCCACATGAGCCCTGCACTCACATAAAGACAGATACACAAGCTTTGGTTTCAGCACCGTCTCTTTGGCTACAACAAAAGAGATGTAGCCATTGAATGTAAGTAACATACTTGTGTGTACATGCACAGGAAAAAAACCCCACAAAAAACAAACAAAAAAGAAAGCAGTCAGAATACCCAAAGAGTAACAGAGAGCTCTCTCGAGAGCTGGTATCAAGCTGGTGGCCATGGAACAGGAGACAGAGCAGGACAACTATTTACTGTGTTCAGAAGAAGTTGCTTTGGCTTTAATCTTAAAATGTTATTAATTTGTGAGGGACTTTTGACAAGTTTGCCAATGCAGATGGGAAGCAAGCAGCTCTCACTGTTGGTATAACGGTCACTGGCAATAATAAAGTGACAACTAAAACCCTTAGGAGATGGAGACTCCCTGAGCACCCACCACTCCCAGTCAGCAGGAGCTGCAGGAACATACTGCCTTTTGGCCTGCACTCCTCTGCATGGCCCTTCAGCAGCCTGACCTGTCTTCCCTTTCTAATTAAGGAGTAAAATGAACTGTCTCCTCCTGATGGAGCTTCTCTCAAAATTAAAGGGTTGGATGGAATCATCAGCCACAAAACAACAGAGCATCCTACAGATCTGGGGGATGTTTCTACTCTCAGTAATCCAACAAAAAATAATACACCTAACAAGATCTTCCCACCTCAGCTCCCCTCTGTCCAACAGCATCATACTTTATTTGTTAATTTGTTGCTGCTTTCTACTAGACTAACTCTAGTAAAACACTAGTAGAATACACAGCATCTATTCAAGGGGTTCAGGAACAAGCAGATACCCAGACATGGACAGGCAGTCAGAGAAACGGACAAGGCATAGCTCTGCCATGCTGGTTATGTTCTGCTCTGTTACTGTTTGGGTAGGGAATGTGCAATTACTGACAGTAATCTTTCACTTAACTGACCCTTGTAATAGTATTTCAGTTTTACAGGCCTCTTGGCACATTTAAACAGCATTTTCATCATGAAAGATAAAGAAAAGCAAAGGCAGTCACTCTCTCTGGTCTCCCACAATTACCTAGTACTTGTTCATGTACCTTTCTTTTCCTGCTTCACTCAATTTTTGTGGCTTCATCCTTGTGTCCCTTCCACCTTTCCAAATGCTGAGGCCAAGACTTTGAGCATCATCTCTATCAGATTCTGAAAAAGAATCTGAAGGGAAAGATCCCTGTAATCTCAGGTCCCAAGCCCTGTATAATATGGGCTCTAGCACTGCCTTTCCAATAAACAGTATAATACAAGCCCACCCTGACACATACTTGAAACAAGGACTGTGAGAGATCTCCTGGTAGACAACTTCATGGCCATCTTCCACTGTATTTATGCCAAGAGAATCTACCCACTAATGGAACTGAAGAAATCAAAGCCCATTTATACCACCATGACCTTTTCACACAATAAGAAGGGACTGGAAAAGGGGTGGAGATCTCATTCTGATGTTCTATTTAAGCCTGTGGTTCAATCTCACTGTACAACACTAGTCCAAAGCCTAGACAAGAACACAAGGCAGTACAACTCAAAAGTCTGCACGTGCAAACATGACACGCTGCCTTACAACCATTTGGAGGCAATGCATGCAAATACGCAGAGAAATTACAGAGAGGAAAAACCAAATCAAACAGTGAAGCAAGTGGTTTAAAAATACTGATAGTCCCACAGGCTCAGAAGTCAGCTGGCAGGAGTAGAGATTCCAGCTAAAATAAAAAAATAAAAAATCCCAAGACCATATATATATATAAAATAAAAGATAAATCCCTTAGCCAATATTTTTGGACAGTGAATAAACCAGCTGCAGAAGAAGTGGGCTGACGCCAGGAATTTGAAGCAACAGAAGATCACGTGTGTATCCCCAGCCAAGAATGTATATGAGCAAGAGAGTTTTAAAATCAGTGTGCAATCTTGGAGGGAGCATTTCCTGTAATTTAAGAAACGATGATGAATGGATTTAGGTTTGGTCAGCACTGTGGTTAAAGAGACTTTTTGTAACTGACAGCAAAGAAACCAGCTCAAGTCCCTTGTTCAGAAAAATGAGCTGGTAAAAATCAAGCCTGGACATTATAGACATGCAATTGCAGTTCAACATTATTTAAGGAGAGGAATAAACAAAAATATCCCTTTCACATGAATACAGCTCTGCAGCAGCCAGTGTGTGCCTATCCATCATCTAACCATGTCTTCAAAGTGACTATGTTGCTAGCCAGAATTTCAGCCCGTATTTAAAAAGAAAAGTTTCCTCTGCTTTTTCTGTGGAGAAAACCTTAAAATATGAATAAAGTTAGAGATACACATCCTGAAGGGCTGCTCTCAAGATTGTGAACACCCTCATTCATCTCAGAAGTTATAACACACACAAACAGGGGTGGTCAGTTAAATGGCCAGCGTGGTAACCTGTTCAGGCCTCCCACCAGAAGAAAAGACCTCCAGATGTGCCTCAATTGACCCGAGGGATGAAGGATGGCAAATGGGAGATAACATCACTTACATTTCTTCCTGAATCAGAAAAAAATCCAAGCCCAAGCAGAGAGCACAGGCTTATTTGTAGTCACTGTGCAGGAGCTAAACAGCACTCACTGCAATCTGTGTGCAGGAAAACTTTCCTTTTCATATGCAGCACATCCTGATGTAGAGGAAATCTCAAGGTGCTTCACCAGTACAGCTGTATGACACTACGACCACTGTCAGCCACTCCATTGCTTCCTAAGCCCAGAGCCAGCACTCCCTGCAAAACTGATCTCTATGACATGTTGGCTCAGTTTGGTCTGTAGCTCCAGATCAACCCCTCCTCATTCACTGCAGTGCTGAAGAGGAAACACAGCATCATTTTTTCTGCCAAACTACACATCTTTAATTCAATTGCATCTATGTTTGAATCATTGTGATGGGTCACTTCCAATGGTAACCCTTCAAGACACTTCCACAGAATCTACTTCACTCTGAGTCGCTCCAGGATTCTGACCAGGTCCTTGTTGCTGGTGAAGAAGAAATCTCTCGTGTCCTCTGCACAGCTTTGCTGCCCATTTCTTCCTTGCACTCTTGCAGCAAGGATTGTCTAAGTAAGTGCTACATGCAAAAAGAAATCAGCATGATGTGCAGACTTACGGGGGATTGTCACATTTCCGCTGTCTGAATCGCACTCCTGTGCCACACGTCCGGCTGCACATGCTCCACTGACTCCACATGCTCCAGTCTCCATCGACATGCTCAGGGATGGGCGTTTTACTGACACACTCCCCAGCTCTGCACCACTGAAATGCAATTGTGTTAGCACAGGCTGGAAAGAAACCCCAATCCTGCAACCACTCCTGCATAGGCGGACTTAAAAGGATGTCTGAGAGATTACAACAAGCCCATGTTTAAATTCCCACAGATTCAAGTCTTCAGTGAGATGGAGGTGGGAGGAGGAGGAAAGGAATGGGTGAAACATAGAAATTTGTCACCTTCAACAAACACCTGAAGGGAGTTCTAAAAAAAAAAAAAAAAACCACAGAATTGAGCCCCTTGCTTTATAAAGCAGATAATTATCTAAGTGCTAAGACTTAAAAGCCACACTCCTCACAGAAACCAAGTCCAAGAAATTATACCCCAAAGCAATGTCTTAATCAGCAGTATTCCCAGGATACACAAAATAATTGAGGTATTTTAGGCCCAACTTGGCTAGAGCCCCAAATGACCTTTGATTCTATTAGGTTGTGCTGGCTCCTGCCCAAGCAGCAAACTTGGCCTGTTCTCCTGCTCTGTCCAGGATACGATACAGCAAGCACTGCTAAGCAGTCTTACGAAAGAATCACCAGGACTCCTGTAGCTAGAAAAATATAGATCTAAAAATCTTTTGTCTCAGTTTCCTTGTCATGCTTTCCAGGGCCCAGTTTTTCTTGTCATTGTTTATCTTCATTTGCAGCAAAGAAAATATCTTTAATCTTTGATTTTAGTAACAAACTTTTGAATTTTACTTCTTACCTCCTCAATCAAATAACATACAAAAATATTAGAATCCAAAACAAGTAAGTAGGGGGCTGGCAGTTACCAAACCAGTCAAGTTCCATTGTTGCCTAACAAATTATTAGCCAAACTGGGAGAATCAACCACATACATTTATGAACCACATAGCACCTATCACAGCCCATCTTGGAGGTTAAACACGTTCACTTAAGTCAACTTCTGTGTGAAACCACCACATTCTGTTAGCACAGTTGGTAGGCTGGGAGGCAGCAGCTGAGCATCTGTAACTCCCACCCATATGGCATTGAAGCCAGTTACTGGAATGGTGATTTTCACTGGAAGGAGATCCACTAATGACAGTTTATTTTATGTTTCTTGTAACGATTTTCTGTATTGACATCTACATTCTGGAAAGTACATCTATGCCTTAGTCATCTGACTATCTATATACAGTACAGTAAATGACACTTCAAAAATAACTGAACATCACTCAATTTGAGCTCAACATATTTGGAGTTACTTTTTTAGAAACTATAAAGTTTTTAAGTAGCTTCTTTGTCTTTCCCCATCTTTCTCCACACCCCAAATTTCAGCCTAAATGCTCTCCACATTTTCTACCTCAAATACAGCCAAGAACACTATAACTTTAGCTTACACTGAAAAAACACCTCACTCATGCAACATCACTGACAGCAATGAACAGAAGTGACAGGAGTGAGCTGCTACCTAACACAACTCGCAGGGTACTCGGTCTGTGCACTCACTAAAGTGAGGCATGGGGTTTTCCTGCAGAGTTTGTGTAGTGCCTAGACCATGAGAACTTCACTGCTGAGGTCTCCAGAGGCTACTGGAATACATGTAACACGAAATCAGAAAGATTTAACCCAATCCAGCCATTAACTGAGCAGTTTCTGTAACAGAATCAGTCAAAAATATGGGTTTATGGTAAACACTGAACATCTTGGAAACATTATTCCACAGATAATGCTGGAAAAACCATACTGAGTGCTACTGAGCATTTTGATTACCTTGTCTGCGCCACATTCGGTGCCATCCAGAGGCGGGTCCAACTTTGTTTTACAGGATGTATCTCCTTCCACCAGGCACCAGAGCCCAGCACACATCAAATGCTGTAATCACAAAGCAACGAGGTGCAGTTATTACTTTTGGAGATGTCAGCTATCATTATGGGATACATTGCAATGCTCAGGCAGTCTCCCTCAAGTGAATCCAGAGGCAAGTGAATCCAGAGTTGGTTTGGGAGCAATTATTTTTTAAGGATAGATTGGCATTAAATGGTGGGGCTGGGAACATAAAAGAGATTGATGGATGCCCTTGTCAGGAATAAAACCCACTCAAAACAAGAAGTGCATTATTTAAACAAATTTATTTTCACAAGAATAAATCTAGTCCATTAAAAACAAGTCCTATAAGAGAGGCCAAGATTGATGCTTTGGAACCATGCCAAATGCTTAGATGTTCAAGCTGCTTAATTACTTGTATTTTTTAAAAAGATATTTAAGTAACTAAGCAGGATGAAATGCAGTCAGCCCTGCTGGACCTGGTGGTAGCTGTAATCAGCCAGCAATGCCCCCTGGGAGAAGATGATCTAAAGGTGGAATGAGAAAGAGGAAAGGATTTCATGGTGTGCCATGCAGCAGAGGAGGAGCTTGGTGACAGGCAGCAGCAAAGTTAGTGAAGGTTTGATGGTGAGAAGTAGGTGCTAGAGACCAATGTGCTAAAGAAGGTGCAAAGTGAGATGTTGGGGCAAGAGGTGCAGCACATCTCGCTACCAGACTTGAAACACATTCTGGGCATCATAACTCAACATTGCTGCTCTGCTCAGCCAACGTGAGTTGCAGGGATATTAATGCTGACCACGCTTGCGTGATCTGTCAGATCAATAACGTTTTCAGAATTTGAGAAAAAGAATCAGGAAAAGGGGCCTTTACATCGTTAACATTTTCCACAGCATCCACCGTGCTTTGCATTCCATGAAAGTGGATGATTTCAATACAGTGCTACAGATCTGAGTACCAAAAAACAGAAAAAGAAGAGTTACATTTCTTTCCACTATTGTTCACGTTTCATTGTAATGGTAAAAAGATGAGAAGCCTGACTCTAGTGCCAGCTGGTCTTGTCAAGATTTATTGCACCTCATTAAATAGTTGAGTCAACACGCTTCAACCTTATGGTTCTTTCAAAATGTAATGTAAGAGACTGTGGGTGCCTGTGTGTTTTGTGTACATGCATGTTGGTATGTCTATATAAAATAGATCTGTATGGCAGAGACTGCAGACGAGATAAATCCCAACACCAAGAGTGATGATGTAAAACATACTGAAACAAAATAGTTATCGTAGCAGTATCTGCATCCTTTTATTTCTACATTTCTTTCTGGAAAGAGGATTTTGCACTATTTAAACCAAAAGAATATTCACAAAAACTAGAAGCAGACGGCACAATTCAGCAACATCTGTATCAACCACAACACAGAAAATCATTGTCAAACAAACAAACAACAGCAAATACACCAGGGAAGCCTAAATCAATGACTTTTCAAGACATTTTCCCCAAACTAATAGAGCGTACGGAAAAATATCAGACTTTAGTAATTTTGACTAAATGACTAATTAGTGGTTTACCCACAGCTCTGAAAGCACTTAAGCACCAATTAGCCATAAGGACATCACATACTGTTTGAGAGATAGGTATAGCGAGGCAGAAGAATTGACAAGCCAGAGATTTCAGAGCTTACTGAGAAATCAGTGGTTCCACACTGCAACTCCCAGATTCTCAAAACCTCTCATTCCCTGGAGAGAACTAAAATCAAAAAGTACATCAATTAACTGTCCACAAGTGTTACAGAAAGAATGTTCATCTAGGCAATAAACCATTTAAACTGAAAAAGCTTTTCCCCAACATGCCAAACTCAAAGCTCTGAGAAGATGCTTGTTTTCCTAGCTGTAAAGCTGCAGCACCCTTGCACCTGGGTTAACTCACTGTGATCTAACGGTGATGGTTACTCTTTATATTAAGACTACACATATGAATGATTAAAAGGGGTTAAAAAACAGTTAAGATATACATTAAAATCGTGTCACAGACCTATACATGGAAGGGATCATATGAGGTTCTAGCCACAGTGGCTACATGTAGATACAGGACACAACTAACGGCAGTCTGTGAACACGATAGACTTCCGAAACTCCAACAGCTTCTTTGCCATTACAAATAAATGTAGTGATGACTTATAAATGTTGTTACTGCTAAAACAATGTCAGGAATTAATTGGCAGTCTGGACTCTCTTCTCCCTTGATGATGGTAGACAGTGATCTTGTAAAAGCACTATCAGCAATGCCTCCTTTCAGACTGTGGTTGGGCAATATTGATACGTAGAACGAAGGAAAGCTGCAGAGATTAAGGGTGCAGAAAGCATGTATTGCCACTTTTCCAGGCGTCAGCCCCTTTCTTACATACAACCACAAGAGCAGAATGTGCTGAGAAACTCTCCAGTCTGATCTCCTGAATGACCTAGACAGAAATTTTGCCCCATGGTTCCAGAAGGAAACCCTCTGCTTCTGCTTTCTGTCAGAAAGACATCCTGGCTGAAGATGTAACGGAATTCACTACAACCCTAAAGAAGTTGTTTTACACACATATGAGCACCATCACTAAATATCTTTGCCTTTTGCAAGGCTAGTATTTGTTAAGCTTCAGCTTCATGTCCCTGGATTGTACCCTGCATGTCAGAGTTAAATTCCCATCTTTGATGTAAAACTGTGAGGAGGAAGAGGGGGTTAGACACAGAAAGTCATAAAAATGAAGCAGCTTTTTGTAAGATTTTGGTTGCCAGCCAGAATTCCTCCAGAGCCCACAAGAATTTGGAAGGTGACAAACCCAACTAACATGTATGAGGCATGGCCTGGGGCGGGGAGCAAAAGGTACAGATAACCTCAAACAGGGTAAACCTCAAACCAGCAGAACTACAGAACTGAGCCCAGCCTGTGGATACAGCGGGTGCAAATATTCACACACGTGTGTGTATGTGTGTATATATGTGTGTGTATATATATATACACACACACACATACCTGTACGTGTTTGTGCATATATATACATGTATACACACACACATTTATTTCTACGAAGATAAATAAAGGAAAAATTTCTCTTAGCAACACCAACCTTTCTGAAATTTCCCATCTTTGAGGTATGGAAAACACAGGATTTTTATAGTATCCCTGTGTTTGATTCCGAACACTAAATGCAAAGCATATTTCAGGAAACAGTTAGAGAAAAATCTGGTAACTGTGCTTCAGCTCTGTGTTCTAGTGCCATACCACTACAAAGCTCAAACACTCGTTAGTGCAGTCCCCTGTATTTAATACAGCATTCAGATACCCCAGCGAAGATTAAACCATCAGCTTTGGTATTGTATGTTACCAAGATGTTTTATCATGTTAATAGCTCATTTCAAAAGAGATCATATATCATCAGCGACAACAGAAACCCAAACAAAAATCCCCATTAAACAGTCCCACAGCTAACCAGTTGCAGTGACTGACTTTTTAATAGTTAAACAGCCAGCTTTGTGGGGAAATATGCAAGTGAGAAATGGCAAGACTTGAAAGGAAGTTGCTTGCATATGAGTGGCAGTTCAGAGCTTACACTGATATAGAAGAAGCCATCAAAAGAGCTGTATTACTGCTAACTCTAAATTCAGTAACCAGCTTTTAGAAGGCAGGTCTCTGCCTGCAAAGTCTTCCCTAAAGCATTCAAAAAGTGTCAGTTAGGATTTTCCAATGATAGGTATTTTTCACTGGAAAAATATTGATTTGTTGAAACTGTCTATAGGGAAAGGTCATCTTTGGATCAGCTCCCAGCTTGAAATATTTCCAAGAGCAAAACTGTGGTGGTTTCAAATAAAAAAAGCGAGCTGGTTGTTGAACAGTAATATTTCAATAAATATTTGATTATTTTTTTTTTAATGGAAATGCTTGTTCAACTGAAACTTTAAGGAATTTATATACAGACAGAAAATAAAATTTAAAAAAAAATCAAAATAAAAATGGAATTTTTATAAAGGTACAAGTTTTAGACTCTCAAAAACTGCTGGAAGATAGGAAAACTTGTCTGCACATCTGTTAGAAACCAGTCCTGAGAGAGGTCAGGGTCCGGAAGCTCTCAAGCTAGGAGATATCTGCTCAGCAGGCGAACGACGCTTCCGATTACAGGTATTATAATGGCATCTATTTGAGAAAGGGGCCTTACTGTGCCAGGTGTTTTCTCTTCCTCAAAGAATTTGCAATCTAAACAGACTGCTTGGAGCTTGGAGATAAAGGAAGCTTTATCCCTCTGATATAGGTGGGAAGATGAGGAACAGAAAGGGATTAAATGTCCTGCT